CATGACATGACATGACATGCCATGCCATGACTAGATAACATGCAACATGCAACACCAATGCAGTCATGAACACACAGTAACACACAGTAACACAATAATATGTGTGAAATAGTATGACATGATATGGCATGGTATGAACAGTGATGACAATTAATACAAACAACATGACATGACATGACATGGACGGAAACACAATGTCAACAACTACATGATTGTAAAACATGTCATGATATGTCATGATATGATATGTCAGGGTTAGGGGTTAGTGATAGTAGTCGGTAACAACTAACATTATTGACACCAATAATACAGGCATATATGAAACCATATAACAACAAGTATGGTATATATATACATGACAACAACAGTACAGTACAGCCATGGAATGTAATGAACACAAACACACGAGTCAATGTCAATGTCAATGTCAATGTCAGGGTCAGGGTCAGGGACTAGTGTATCCGCAAGCTAGTTAACTCAAGTCAGCAAGTCAGCATGGCAGTGATGGCAGTGATGTCAGTGATGGTCACATTATTCCACCCTCAAACAACAACGTCTTTGGAGTCAAGACGGATACTTGGGTTTCAACAAATTTGCGGTATGGAATTCAGCCAACTTGTCAGGAGCTGAAATATTATGGACAGGTTCCCAGCTTTGATGGATAATGGTGTAACCGGTTTATTTGTTGCTGAATACGGACCCAAACTCAACATGATGCAATGAAACAACGGGTGACCGAGTAATAGTTGCCAGGATACTAGGTAAATATGTGTTGGCAACACAGAACAGCAATTATTAACAGGAGCATCCGTCGTGTCATGATTCTTGGACATGACATGACTGGATTAACTAGCAAACTAGCACATGACATGACATGACATGACATGATATGACATGACTGAAAACTACGACCAACAAAACAACTGACGAGTATTTACAGCATGCAATATTACATTGATCAGGGCTAGCATGGTACGGCCATTATGTTGGATGCTGCTACTAATCATGACATGTACATGACATGTGGATGACATGTGTGTAAATGTGTCAGTTTCACCAAAGGGTACTTGTCACATTAGCATAACAGTCAAACATACCATCGCATACATCCACACATTGACACATTACTGTATGTTGCTTGGTTTGGTAATATGTCATGTCAACAGTATACATTTTCAGTAAAGCAAGGTATAAGTGATAAGGGATGAAACACAAAGTATCAACCAGGTGGTTAGTGACAATATGAGTTTATCAATGTGTCAACAACTATTTGATCACGAATATGTCGGATGATAACCAGGTGATTGTTACTAGTTGGTACTAGTTGGTATCAAATAACTTTATTGACATTATTGACATGTTGTTAAAACTCAGGTAAACACACATGACAAGTATGGTTGATTTATAGACCTCAACATGTGTACTGTCACATGAAATGGTGCCGTAATTAATCATCATTGCATTATTGAATTCATGCATCACCAAGGTTGTGAACAACACATGGAACAACACAGTGAATAACATAGTGAACAATAGGGGCAAAAAAACACAACAAATACAACAAGCAATGAACAACAGACACATGACATGACATGACATGACAAAAAAGTAGTGATGAACTTGGTGTCAATTGTGAGGATCACAGCCATGAGGACCTTAGATTAATTACCTTGCGGTTACACAACACCCTAAGGACTGATATTAACCTCCTTATGACCGATCGAATCCCTAAGGACTCATGTTGACCGCCGTAGGGACACGCAACTCCATAAGAACCTGTGTGAACCCTTTACGGCTGTACTCTTGTTGAGGTCTATAAATAGACCATACTTGTCATGTATGTTTACCTCAGTTTTATCAATAAAGTTCCTTGATCCTAGTTAGTAACAAGCACCTGGTTTCCCTTCGCCTTATTTTGCGATTAAGTACTTCCTGACACATTGATAAAACTCATATTTTCCTGAACCACCTGCTTGTTTACTCCTTGTCCCTGTTCCTATCACAACTTCAAACCTCGTCATGAAAAACTCTCCGGAAGCCCGTTCCAATCTAATCGACGGTTCCCCTCACTCACGACATTCCAGTCGCACTCGTCCAACGACATGCAGATTGACGCAGTCGTTCGAGGCCCGTTATCCACTCAAGAAAGGAAGCGCCAACGTCAGCTCGGCTTATGTTTATATTGTGGCCAGCCAGGTCACCGAGCTCATGACTGCCCTAGCAGAAGTCCTAATAGAAGAACGACTCCAGGTTCCAGATCCGTCGTTCGCCAAACCAACACCTTTGCCTCTTGAAAACAGTTATGGGTGAAGCAGTGGATGTAGCCCGTGGTATGCTTGACAAGGATGTTGATGTGGTAGTACCCTCTGGGGAAACAGGCTCTTTTACACAGACGCCCTCCACATCTCCTTTGTACTCGCATCAGCCAGCAAAACCCACACACCATGCTAAGTCTGTTCAATGTAAAACTCCATCCTGTTCATACCCGTTTCCTGTTCTC